CCCTCCGACAGTGCGGCGCTCCCTCAGCACTGACCCTCCGACAGTGCCCCGCTCCCTCAGCACTGACCCTCACCCCTGTTGGGCTTTGAGCCCCCTCTGTCGAGGAACGTGTGTTTGAAACCCTCGCTGCAGCTTTGTGTGAAGTTCTGCTCCTGGAGAATGTGAGCAGGCGGTGAAAACTACATTACCCACAGTGCCCTCTGAATACTGCAAGTGGGCACGGAGCTGAGAGAAGCTGAGACAGCAGCTCGGCTCCATGTAGGATTGGTTCTCCTGCTGCTGGGATGGAGCTGTGGATTGGTGGCTCTGTGTTTCACTTGGGCACAGCATGTGCAGCTGTCAGGGCCTGCCTCAGAAATTCTTTTGCCGTCTAAATTTATCCGGCGCTGCAGCCTGGCCACGGTAGCAACACCGAGCAGACCTCCGTTTTCAGAGTCAAAGCGTCTGTCTCTCCATCTGCCAGAATCTCTCCAGTTTGTGTGCAGAACACGTGGATGAGAGCAGCGTAAGCCAGATGTGATGCCGGTTCAGCAGAGCAGATCCCACGCCAGGGAGAGGAACAATGTTCTGAACAGAGCCGAGTTCATGTCCCTCACCCAGACCATGAGGGGCACTCAAGAGGGCCGGAGTTCGCTGAGGAAGTGCAGTGGGCAGCAACAGCCCCTGCCAACTGAGGGGAAAGATTGCCCCCATCTGCCCGAGGAGGACTGCATGCAGCTCAACCCGTCTCTGCGAGGAATCGCCATTAACTCGCTGATGGCCATTGACATCTGTCTGTCCAAGAGGATAGGGGTCTGTGCCAACAGCTCCTCCAGCTGGACCAGTGCCCGGCCTATCGTCAAGCTAATTGGGGTAACGGGTCATGGGGTGCCCTGGATCGGAGGCACAATCTTCTGTCTGACCAAGAGCAACACAACAGCTGGGCAGGAGGTCATCTTCAATCTTCTGTTTGGTGAGGATTCGACAGGGGGTGGGGGGGGGGTGGGGTGGTGGGGGCAGTGCGTCACGAGCTGGGGGCCATTAGCCTTCGGTCAGGCCAAAGATGGCCGAAGCTATTGTGGGTGGGGCTTGTGATGTGGGGAGGGATCTTTTCATATTCCTCTGTTGGCTGGGCTGGTATTTATTACCCATCCCTAATTGCCCAGGGGCATAGAGTCATACAGCACGGAAACAGACCCTTCGGTCCATCCAGTCCATGCCAAACATAATCTCAAACTGAACTAATCCCACCTGCCTACTCCTGGCACATATCCCTCCAAACCTTTCCTATGTCACATTGCTGTGGGTCTGGAGTCACCTTTAGGCCAAACAAGGCAAGGATGGGACACAACCCCTGATTAGTTATGCATTACCATAACCATGAAGGGAATTCGTGAACCAGATGGGTTTTCTGACAATCGACAACAGTTTCAAGGCCATCATTAGATTCTTAATTCCAGATTTTTTAAAAAAATAATTAATTTAAATTCCACTATGGGGAGTATTCTGGGGGTACGAGTTACATGCATTTGGAAAGGCACGCACTGATTAGGGATAGTCAATGAGGGGCCCTTCGGTCCAACTCATCCATGCTGACCAGACATCCCAATCTAACCAGGATTTGGCCCATATCCCTCTCTACCCTTCCTATTCATGTCCCCATCCAGATGTCTTTTAAATGTTGTAATTGTGCCAGCCTCTACCACTTCCTCTGGCAGCTCATTCCATACACACACCACCCTCTGTGTGAAAAAATTACCCCTTAGGTCCCTTTTAAATCTTTCCCCCCTCACCTTAAACCTACACCCTTTAGTTTTGGGCTCCCCTATCCTGGGAGAAAGACCTTGTGTATTTACCCTATCCATGCCCCTCATGATTTTATAAACCTCTATAAGGTCACCCCTCAGCCTCCGACGCTCCAGGGAAAATAGCCCCAGCCTATTCAGCCTCTCCCTAAAGCTCAAACCCTCCAACCCTGGCAACATCCTTGTAAATGTTTTCTGGACCCTTTCAAGTTTCACAACATCCTTCCTATAGCAGGGAGTCCAGAATCGCACACAGTATTCCAAAAGTGGACCTAACCAACGTCCTCTACAGCCACAACGTGATGTCCCAACTCCGATCAAAAACAGAAGTTGCTGGAAAAGCTCAGTAGGTCTGGCAGCATCTGTGAAGAAAAATCAGAGTTAAGGTTTCGGTTCCGGTGACCCTTCCTCAGAACTGATGTCCCAATTCCAACACTCAACACGCAGAACAATGAAGACAAGCACGCCAAACGCCTTCGTCACTATCCTGTCCATCTGCGACTCTACTTTCAGGGAACTATGCCCCTGCACCCATAGTTCTCTTTGTTCGGCGACATTCCCAGGACACAACCATTAACCATATAGGTCCTGCTCTAGAGATAGTAGGAACTGCAGATGCTGGAGAATCTGAGATAACAAGGTGTAGAGCTGGATGAACACAGCAGGCCAAGCAGCATCAGAAGAGCAGGAAAGCTGACGTTTTGGGCCTAGAAAGAAGGGTCTAGGCTCCTGTGATGCTGCTTGGCCTGCTGTGTTCATCCAGCTCTACACCTTGTTATCTCAAGTCCTGCCCTAGTCTGCCTTACCAAAATGAATAGGCCACATTGAGACATCTGGTCAGTGCAGACAAGTTGGGCTGAAGGGTCTGTTTCCGTGCTGTCTGACGCTATAAACAGGATTAGAACCTGGGTCCCCAGAGCATTACAAGGGTCTCTGAGTTAGTAGTTTATGCCTAGTGCCATTAGGCCATCACCCAGCCCAAGGTGCTGGATTGTGTGAGTGCCTGTTGTTTCTCTGTAACATCAGGGTGTGCAAAAGGCTCACAGGCTTTGCATAGCAACCCTCCACTGCCTCCCTCAAACCCTTCTCCTATGCTCCCTCCTCTATGTTGACACCTTGACCGCTGGAAGAGATTGAAAAGGAAAGAAAAATCATCAAATCTTACAGGACAGAAGTGTGGGAATAGTCTGGCGGTACAGACCCGATGGACCAAATGGTCCCTTCTGTGTACTGTATGATTCCATGAGGCCCTTCGTCCCTTCAAGTCTGCACTGATAAAAACAACTCTAAACCTACACCAGTTCCAGTTCCAACGCTAGGCCCAAAGCCTTGAATGATATGACATTTCAAATGCTCTTCCACATACCTTTAAAGGTTGTGAGATATTCCCTCTTCAACTCCCCTCCTAGGCAGAACATTCCAGAGCCCTCTGGTTGAAAAATGTTTTCCACAAAACCCCTCTAAATCCCCTGTCTTTCATCTTGAGATTACAGCCTCTTGTTAGTGACCCCTCAACTAAGGATCGCGCCCACCTCTGCTCACGCACCTCACAACCTTACCCATCTTACACATTGCAGATGGCAGTGAACGAAGGAGGACTGTGAGGAATGACGAAGGTAGCATTTTGTTACAGGTGTGTAAATGTACAAGCCCTGGTTAAGTAGGATTGCTGAGCTATGAACGCAGTGAGCCATGTGGCAATATGAAGATGAAAACATGGATTATCACAAACATGGCTTAAGATTGGTGAGATCTGGGCATTTAACTCTTCAGGATATAAAGGCTTCAAATATAAGAAGGTAAACATGGGGTTGGAGTGGCCGTGCTAATTAGGGAAGATATTGGGTGGCACGGTGCCTCAGTGGTTGGCACTGTTGCCTCACAGCGCCAGGGACTGCGTGGAGTTTGCACATTCTCCCCGTGTCTGCGTGGGTTTCCTTCGGGTGCTCCGGTTTCCTCCGACAGTCCAAAGATGTGCAGGTTAGGGTGGATTGGCCATGCTAATTTACCCAGAGTGTCCAGGGATGTGCAGGCTGGGTAGGTCAGCCATGGGGAATGCAGGGTTACAGGGATAGGGTGAGGTAGGCGTGTGATCTTGGAGGGTCAGTGTGGACTTGATGGGCCAAATGGCTTGCTTCCACATTGGTGCGATTCTATGATTGTAGTGTTCAGAAGGGGAGCTAGTTTTGAGGGGCCAAGGACAGAGTCCATTTGGTTAGGATAGAAAAGTGAAAAAGGGAGTGATAGGGATACTGGGTCAATTCCCTCCCTAGGGGCATTGTGGGTCTACCAACAGCATGTGGACTGCAGCGGGTCAAGAAGGCAGCTCACCCCTACCTTCTCAAGGGGCAACTAGGGACGGGCAATAAATACTGGGACCATCCAGTGACAACCCTCCAATGAGTGATTAATAGGGAACTGGGAGACATCCAAGGAGTGTAGAGCGGTGAGACTGGGGCTGGGGGGAGGCTTTAATTCCTCAAATACCGGTTAAGATGATATTGAAGTCAAGAGAATAGAGGGGAGGAATTTCTGAGAAGTTCTCAGCGGCATTTCCATGATCCGTGAGTTCCCAGAGCAATGGAATGGAGGTATTTCTGGGCCTGGAACAGAGGGAGGGGGACAAATGGAACATGTGTCATAGAGATCTACAGCGTAGAAAACAGGCCCTTCAGCCCATCACACCTGTGTCTGCCACCTAACTATTCTATCCTATTTTCCAGCAGTTGGCCATAGGAAGCACATTGACTAAGAACAATCATCACAAGGTATGGATCAGTAATGCAGAAGATCAAGGAACAATTGGTAGCCAAACTTCTAAAAGGGGCTAATATTTTGATGGCAAGAGGAAGGATCAAGCCAGCTTAAAAATGGGACCAGAGATTGGCTGGAAAAGAACAGGGGGAAGCCATTTCAGCAATAGGCTGGTTCCACTAAACCGTTGAGGGTGACGGAGTATCTGTTGAAACAAATGAAAGAGAGTGTCTGATGTAGTGTGAGTGAGGACCATCTCAAACTTAGCACTGTATGTTGCGAGGGGAAATGGCAGGAGTAACTGGTAAAGGCAGTGCATGCGAATAGACGGTGAATATAACAGGGAACACAAGAATCTTCTGCATTGTAAACAGTGAGTGAGTGGCCAGAGGCCTTTTAGAGACAATAAAAGGGATATATTCTTTGAGGCACAGGGCACATGACTTAGCCAATACTTGGCATTGGTGTTCAACACCATCTCAGAAGGCCATTCACGTCCTTGAGAGATTGACCAGGATGGTGCTGGGGTTGCAGGGTTGTAGCTACAAGCTCTGGACAGAGAAGCTGGGCCTGTTCTGCTCCCAAGCAAAGGAGACGGTGGGGAGATTTGATCAAGGGGTTCAGCATTATGATGGATGATGTTAATTAGCCAAAGGAGAACTGGTTCTTTAAGCTGATCGAGCTAGGACCATGGACGCAGAGGTAAGGGCTTTGGACACAGCCACCTATTCTAACGCTGAAGGCACTTGGTCTGAGCACTGGCGGATCACATTTACTGTTCTCAACAACAGCACCCTCGGAGTCTTCATATCCAGTGGGGAGCACAGCCAAAGGCTTTGTCTTCCAAAAAACAGAAACTGCCTCAGCGCTGACCATCCGACAGCGCAGCGCTCCCTCAGCACTGATCCTCCAACAGTGCGGCGCTCCCTCAGCACTGACCCTCCGATAGTGCGGCTCTCCCTTAGCACTGATCCTCCAACAGTGCGGCGCTCCCTCAGCACTGACCCTCCGATAGTGCGGCTCTCCCTTAGCACTGATCCTCCAACAGTGCGGCACTCCCTTAGCACTGACCTTCCGACAGTGCGGCACTCCCTCAGCACTGATCTTCCGACAGTGCGGCGCTCCCTCAGCACTGACCTTCCGACAGTGCGGCGCTCCCTCAGCACTGACCCTCCGACAGTGCGGGATTCACTCGGCACTGACCCTCCGACAGTGCGGTGCTCCCTCAGCACTGACCCTCCGACAGTGCGGCGCTCCCTCAGATACAGAGAGCACAGCCACTGGGTGTAGAAACAGTGGGTGTCCTGCTTTGTGTAATTTGGCAGAATTCATCCTGAACCACATAATGGTATTGCTTCAGTCAGTCTAATATCATTTGTTATTCATGGGGGCTGACAGAAAGCATGGCCAGACA